GCCCCTATCAAGCCACAATGGTGGACATCCATATATTAGTGGGCAAAGGGACAGTCCAGCTGCTCCCAGGGGCTGTGTGTGTATTTGAGGAAGCCCAGGGACTGCCCCTTCGAAGGCACCACAATTACCTTGAAAATCATTTCTATGGTGGATTGGCCAGCTCAGCCCTTGTGGTCAGGTCTGTGTCATCTGTGGGCAACTATGACTACATTTGGGACTTTGCATTCTACCCAAATGGGGCACTTGAAGGGCGGGTCCATGCTACGGGCTATATCAACACTGCTTTCCTGAGAGGGGGAGAGCAGGGCCTCCTTTTTGGGAACCGTGTGGGGGAGCAAGTGCTGGGAGCGGTGCATACACATGCCTTCCACTTCAAGCTGGACCTGGATGTGGCAGGTGAGTGCTGAGTGGATGAGGATGGAGGTTTGGGGGTGGGGTGGGGTGGGGTGGGTGGAGGGAAAGGAAGGGAATCTCCCAGCTCAAGCTGAGATCTCGAGTGGCAAGAGTGAGGTGTTCAGCACCACAGCTCTAGTGGCAACAGAGCAGGAACTGAGCATATTCAGTGCAGTCAGCCTGGTACTGGGCTACTGGGTATCTGGCAAAAGGTGAAAGGTGTTCCCCCGCCCAGCCCTTCTGACTTGCCATGATTGTGAAACTAGTTTAAATGTAATGCTGGACATGATTGCCTTAGCCTCAAGTGACACTGGGTAGGTGAACTGGCCCTAGCAGAGGCCCAATGGGGCTGGAGTTGGAGCACTTTGCTTCTTCCTAGTTCTGAGGGCCAGTGAGGGTGGGGAGAGCAGGGATCTGAGCTGAGGTCAGAAGCTGTCTAAGAGTCTTCAGGGTGGGGGTGGACCTGGGGGCTTGGGAAGGGGAGGGTACTGTAGCTGGGGTTGTTCCCCAGGATAGGGCCACTTTTTGTTGGGAGGGCCATCTCAATCCTGTCATTTCTTGACTCTAGTGACATGGCAGACAGCTTGGCGCAGAGGTATGGAAAGGGATTTTTCAAGCACAAAGGGCTCAAAGCACAGAGGACTTGCTGTTCCTGACAGACTGTCAAGGACAGGAAAACTTCAGAATCACAGATGTTTAGATCCACAAAGAACATTAAACTCACTGGACCCTCTCCATTTTAAGGGAAACTAAGGAAGGTGGGGGGAGATGGGACAGGAAGTGACTGCCCAAGTTTATATAATGCAGCATAAACTAAACTCATATTTCTTGCGCAGTGTTTCCTCATCCTCGTGGCATGTGCCTGTGTGACTGTGTGCACGCGCTTGCACTGTGGTCTCAGTGGGGTGGAGGGCAGGGAGGACTAACAGCATGATTGAAATGATCATACTAACTAGATTATTCTTTGACATACTTGGATTTTGACTGTCTTCTGATTGGAAGTTTCTCTTCAGCATCTTTGCATTAAAGAGCCTTGTTTTGGGAAGTAACATTTATTGGATCCCTAGCATGTGCAGCATGGGCTGCTGCTGTGGGCCAGAGAGGCTGTGTCAGGCACCAGTGCACAGGATGTCAGAGGCACCAGCATCAGCACAGTGTCTCCTGTGCCAGGTGCCTTCATATAGGTCTCATTTAAAGGAACTAACAGTCCAGACCTGCAGAAAGTGTGTGGCCAAGTGCTGAGTTAGGCGATGCAGATTATGGATGCTGTAGAATTCTAAGGAGCTCCCAGACAAAGGTGTGAATGTGCTCCCTTCTGAAAAAGGCTGATAGTACTTCCTACCTTGCTGAGATCAAAAGTGAGCTCTCAGAGCAGGGAGGAGTATGGGGGGGACCATGGGAAAGGATTGGGTTTTCTTTTTTTGAGGCAGAGTCTCACTATCACCCAGGCTGGAGTGCAGTGGTGCTATCACAGCTCACCGCAGCCCCAACCTCCTAGGATAAAGCAGGCCTCCTGCCTCAACCTCCTGAGTAGCTGGGGCAACAGGCACATGCCACCATGCCCAGATTTTTTTTTTTTTTTTTTTTTTTTTTTGAGACAGTCTAACTATCACACAGGCTGGAGTGCAGTGGCACAATCTCAGCTCACCACAACCTTCACCTTCCAGGTTCAAGCGATTCGTGTGCCTTGGCCTCCAGAATAGCTGGGATTACAGGCATGCACCACCCCCAGCTAATTTTCGTTTTTTAGTAGCAGTAGTAGACACGGTGTTTCACCATGTTGGCCAGGCTGGTCTTGAACTCCTGGTCTCAAGTGATCCACTCGCCTCAGCCTCCCAAAGTACTATGAGCTACCATGCCCAGCCTTTTAAATTTAATTTTTATTTTTTTTAGGGCAGTGTTTCATTTTGTTACCCCAGCTGGTCTCCAGCACCTGGGCTCAAAGGATCTGCACCACCCTGCCACCAGCCTCCCAAGTCACAAGCCCCCACACCCAGCTCGGGAGTCAGTTTTTCAGCTAGCTTGTCCAAGACAAATACCATTATCCCTTTCCTAGTTAAAAGAATGTCACCAGTCAACTGCATGTACTTTTCTGTTTATCGGGGACAGCCATAGAACAGCTTTAATTACAGCCCAGTGTAGGGATTCAGAAAATGAATCCGCGAAGCAAATTAGTCTAGGGACTGTTTGGTAGTCCAGAACTTTCTGCAGGGATAGAAATGTTCTATATTTGTGCCGCGACTCTAAGCAATAGCTACTATCTATGTGTGGCAACTGGGTACTTTTAATGTGGCTAGTGTCAGGGACTGATTTTATTTTATTTTTTTGAGACAGGGTCTTGCTCTGTTGCCCAGGCTGGAGTACAGTGGTATAAACTCAGCTCACTGTAGCTACAACCTCCTGGGCTCAAGCAATCCTCCCACCCCAGCTTCCCAAGTGGCTGGGACCTCCATGCCTGGCTGATTTTTTGTTTGTTTGTTTGTAGAGTCAGAGTTTCGCCACGTTGCACAGGCTGGTCTCAAACTCCTGGGCTCACATGATCCACCTGCCTCAGCCTCCTAAAGTGCTGGGATTGCAGGTATGAGCCACCTCACCTGGCCCTGAATTTTAATTTTCATAGCCACATGTGGCTAGTGGCTACCCTATTGGACAGGGCAAGTGGGAAGAAGATAGGCGTTTTCACTTGCCCAGACCTCCTGGCTTCCAACACAGTGTGCTCTGATGCTCTCTGCCTCTTGTCACACCAGTGCAGTGGACATCATGGAAAAGACAGGAATCTGGCCCAGAGACTTTACCTGGTATGGAACTCATCTTCCTTCCTTCACCCTGGCAGGGCTGAAAAACTGGGTGATAGCTGAAGACGTGGTGTTTAAACCTGTGGCTGCCCCCTGGAACCCAGAGCACTGGCTACAGCGCCCACAGCTGACTCGGCAGGTCCTGGGAAAGGAGGACCTGGCAGCTTTTTCCTTGGGAAGTCCCCTACCCCGCTACCTCTACCTGGCTAGCAACCAGACTAATGCCTGGAGTCACCAGCGTGGGTACCGAATCCAGATCCACAGTCCCCTTGGCGTACACATGCCCCTGGAGAGTGACATGGAGAGGGCCCTCAGCTGGGGGAGGTGAGGAGGGCCCTGGACTGGGTAGAAGGGAAGGACTGTCCCTCCCCCACCCAGCCCTTGGAGACTCCAACTCCCTGCCCACGGCTACCAGTCATCCCTGTACCTCCCCTTACACCCAAGTTAGATACACAGTGGGAAGTGGTCTCACACAGAATCTGATGTAAGGGGCTTCTGGGCCAGTAAAGGCACTTGCCATTTTCCAACACCATCTTCTTAACAATGATTCCTGGTCAGATACCAGCTTGTGGTGACCCAGAGAAAGGAGGAGGAGTCACAGAGCAGTAGCATCTATCACCAGAATGACATCTGGACACCCACAGTTACCTTTGCTGACTTCATCAACAATGAAACCCTCTTAGGAGAGGTTGGTTGCCCTAGGGATGGAGGACAGGGTCACCTGTGGGCATGGCATCTTGGCTATCCAGTCTCTGGCTATAGGTTAGGGGGAATGGCTGATTTCCAGTTCATAGGTTCAGAGGCCATGCAGTTCTTTTGTGACCAACACAGGTCATCCCTCCTGGGGTGAGATGAGCTCTGGGACACTGGCTCCCTGGCTCCCCGCACAGCTGCTTACGTTGATTACTCCTCATGTATAGGCACAAGCCTGGGCAGAGTGGAAGCCAGGCTGAGGCTGGAGGCTGGGATTGTGGCTGAAGGGTGGTTCTTTTGGTCTTGCTTCCATAGTCCTCCAGCTCCTCCATCTTCCTGCAGGATCTGGTGGCTTGGGTCACAGCCAGCTTCCTGCACATTCCCCATGCCGAGGACATCCCCAACACAGTGACTCTGGGGAACAGAGTTGGCTTCTTGCTCCGACCTTATAACTTCTTTGATGAGGACCCCTCCATCTTCTCCCCTGCCAGCGTCTACTTTGAGAGGGGCCAGAACTCTGGCCTCTGCAGCGTCAATTCCGTGGCCTGCCTCCCTGACCTAGCAGCCTGTGTCCCAGACTTGCCCCCTTTCTCCTACCATGGTTTCTGATCCTGAGGGTGTGGTGGGGGCCGTGGTCAGGCACAGGCACTTTGCTTTGTTTCCACTTTCTGTTCCATGTCCTTTTTTCACACCTGCTGCCCAGATTCCCACCCTCTCAATGTTCCTCTCACACTACACCCCCATCCTTCCCTTCGGTTAATTCTTACTTCCTGTTCATTTCTAAAATGTTAAATTGTAAAAATGATTTTTAAATATTCAGGCAAAAATACCACAAATCTTACTACTCAGAAAGAGCTTGTGTTCACATTATAGTAGACATTTCTTTATGCATGTGCATTCAAAAAGAAGAGCAGATAGAATTTTGGAAAACATGTTATATGTAATTTGTAATAAAAAATGTAAGAGGAATTTTACTTGAATTTATTGTTTGACATTTTAAGTATCTAGAGTTCCCCGGAGAATACTAAGGACTCTGGCCAGGGAACTTAGCAACGGAAGACAGAGGGTAAGGGGGATAGACCTGGCCAAGGAATGTTGTTTGGAAAGCGAAAGGGGCAGGGGGTGGGGGTCTTTGGAAGGAGAACAATAGTGTGAAGTTACAGGAAAGAACATCTGGCCCTGACTAAGTCGGGGTTTGGGGAAGAAGCTGGGCTGAGGGCAAGCGAGGCTGCTCTGCACAGATCCTCTCCCTTCCTGGGATGAGCTGCATTTTCATGCTCAGGCTGGCTGGCTGCATTATCTTGAAATTTTCCTTCCCCTTTCCCCCAGCCTCAACTCTTCCCAACTCCAATCCTGACTCAGAACGTAGAGTCTGATTTGGAGCATGGAAGACAAAACCATGTAAGGTCTGTGGAAATCACAGCTGTTCAGACCCGCCTCCAGCTCCAGCCACCCCGCCCCCTTGCCCCAGCCTCCCTGTGTCCTTCCCACCCTTAGTCCCAGGCATCTGACTACCGGGAACCTCGGCCAGCATCCAGGAGCGCCCCCTGCCACCGTCAGAGCCTGCGTCTTGCTGTCCTGAGAATACATTGCTCTCCTTTGGTTGAATCTGCTATCCCTCTTCATGGGAAAATGAACCAGAAAACAATCCTGGCGCTCCTCGCTCTGGCTGTCATCACCATCTTTGCTTTGGTTTGTGTCCTGCTAGTGGGCAGGGGTGAAGATGGGGGTGAACCCAGCCAGCTTCTCCACTGCCCCTCCATATCTCCCAGTGCCCAGCCTTGGCCACACCCTGGCCAGAGCCAGCTGTTTGCAGACCTGAGCCGAGAGGAGCTGACAGCTGTGATGCGCTTTCTGACCCAGCGGCTGGGGCCAGGGCTGGTGGATGCAGCCCAGGCCCAGCCCTCAGACAACTGTGTCTTCTCAGTGGAGCTGCAACTGCCTCCCAAGGTGGCTGCCCTGGCCCACCTGGACAGGGGGAGCCCCCGACCTGCCCGGGAGGCACTGGCCATCGTCTTCTTTGGTGGACAACCCCAGCCCAATGTGAGTGAGCTGGTGGTGGGGCCGCTGCCTCACCCCTCCTACATGCGGGATGTGACCGTGGAGCGTCATGGAGGCCCTCTGCCCTATCACCGCCGCCCCGTGCTGTTCCGAGAATACCTGGACATAGACCAGATGATCTTCGACAGAGAGCTGCCCCAGGCTTCTGGGCTTCTCCACCACTGTTGCTTCTACAAGCCCCGGGGACGGAACCTGGTGACAATGACCACAGCTCCCCGTGGTCTACAGTCAGGGGACCGGGCCACCTGGTTTGGCCTCTACTACAACATCTCAGGGGCTGGGATCTTCCTCCACCATGTGGGCTTGGAGCTGCTGGTGGACCACAAGGCCCTGGACCCTGCCCGCTGGAGCATCCAGAAGGTGTTCTATCAAGGCCGCTACTACGACAGCCTGGCCCAGCTGGAGGCCCAGTTTGAGGCTGGCCTGGTGAACGTGGTGCTGATCCCACACAATGGCACAGGTGGGTCCTGGTCCCTGAAGTCCCCTGTGCCCCCGGGTCCGGCTCCCCCTCTGCAGTTCTATCCCCAGGGTCCCCGCTTCAGTGTCCAGGGAAGTCGAGTGACCTCCTCACTGTGGACTTTCTCCTTTGGCCTCGGAGCATACAGTGGCCCAAGGATCTTTGACGTTCGCTTCCAGGGAGAACGACTAGCTTATGAAATCAGCCTCCAAGAGGCCTTGGCCATCTATGGTGGAAATTCCCCAGCAGCAATGGTGACCCGCTATGTGGATGGAAGCTTTGGCATGGGCAAGTACTCCACGCCCCTGACCCGTGGGGTGGACTGCCCCTACCTGGCCACCTACGTGGACTGGCACTTCCTTTTGGAGTCCCAGGTCCCCAAGACAATACGCGATGCCTTTTGTGTGTTTGAGCAGAACCAGGGTCTCCCCCTGCGGCGGCACCACTCAGATCTCTACTCTTACTACTTTGGGGGCCTTGCGGAAATGGTGCTGGTCATCAGATCAGTGTCTACCTTGCTCAACTATGACTATGTGTGGGATATGGTCTTCTACCCCAATGGGGCCATAGAAATCAGATTCCATGCCACTGGCTACATCAGCTCAGCATTCCTCTTTGGTTCTACTGGGAAGTATGGGAACCAAGTTGCAGAGCACACCCTGGGCACGGTCCACACCCATAGCGCCCACTTCAAGGTGGATCTGGATGTAGCAGGTAAGACATTTTGGTGGGGAGAAGGCTTCTGGAAGAAGGGCTGGAAAGTTGTTTCCATTTGCTCTGGGTTTTATATATATTATCCCAGAAAGGAAGATGTGGATTTTTGTGCTTTCCCTTTTGCTGAATGAGAGAGAGTTGGCTGCTGAGTTTTATTTGGATCTTAACTCACTGGCTGCGTGCAAAGCTGCAGCCTTCATCCATGTGACCTTATCAGAAGTTCTTGGGAAATGGCCAAGCTGAGGGAGGAGGCAGGATCTGGGCTAACAGGGTCCCCATTGCCCTCTTCCCTCCCTTGTGCTGATATGGGCTCCCCTGCTGGGAGGCAGCCCTCTGCTTCTCACCTCGTTTCTGTGTCTGGCCTGTGGTGCTGGTGTGTTGGAGGATCTCTTTGCATTCTACCAAGTCCCTGGCATGTGCAGGTCAGACATGGAACATTCCAGGTTGTACATTTCCTTTGGAGATGGACCCTCCTCCTCTCTGATTTTCCTTCTTTCTCTGGGCACAATTAACACTTAAGTGTGAGGGGTAGCATGGATCCTGTGGCACATTCCAGATAGATCCTGGAGTCTGGTCACAGAGTGGCAAGGCTACATGATGGCTTGGAGTCTTCATCTTTGTCTATTCACTGTCCTTCCCCACACTGAGTCCGTCATCAGGTGTTTTTTTTTTCTCTGTTTTGCACCTGCAATATCTCGCCGGGTCACACTGCCATGCTCTGCATGCTCTCTCTGCTGTTTCAACTCTTATTGCTCTCAGATCCAAGAGCCACTCTGCACCCAGAGGGCCTCCCATGCACACCAGCCTGCCCTTCACTCAGTTCTCACTTTCCTCATTGCCTGTGGGATCCTGTCCACAGAACCCCCTCAACACTCTTTCCTCCACAGTGCAGCTCCAACCTGCCTGGCCACGCTCCACACAGCTGCACCCTGATACTCCACGTTCCTGGACACGTGATTCACATGTTACAGTCAGGCATGCTCGGTTTTGCTTATGCTTTGTTTCTCCTTAGAATGTCCTTCCATGTCATCTCTTTTGGTAATGTCCTTTAAGGCCAGGCCGAAAAGTGGCCCAGAAGGGCCCCCTTTTCCTGCCTGCACCTGTATTCTTGTGACCCGGAAGCAGCCTAGACCATGCTCCTCTCACAGGACAGGCCAGTCAGTGGTTTGCCTGTCTTCGTGGAAAGCGAGAGGGTAAGGATGATGCTCATTCATCTCTGTCTCCAGGGGCAAGTACAGTCCTCTCTGCTAATGAATGCTGAAAGAATGAATGAGTGAAATTGAATGAAATCCCTGATGAAATATTTTGATTTATAGGTCAACAGCTTTGGCTGAAGGATTGCAGGTATCTTGGGGAGAGGGAAGAGAAGCAGGAGCACATGCATTTCTGAGCTGCTCTTTGGCCCCCACTCTGAAGCCAGGTGGTGGCAGAGTCCAGAGGAGCAAGGGCAGTTGCATGACAGGCCCTCCCCTATCCTACCCCGAGCAGGACTGGAGAACTGGGTCTGGGCCGAGGATATGGCCTTTGTCCCCATGGCTGTGCCCTGGAGCCCTGAGCACCAGATGCAGAGGCTGCAGGTGACCCGGAAGTTGCTGGAGACGGAGGAGCAGGCCGCCTTCCCCGTGGGAGGCGCCACCCCTCGCTACCTGTACCTGGCCAGCAACCACAGCAACAAGTGGGGTCACTCTCGGGGCTACCGCATCCAGATGATCAGCTTTTCTGGGGAGCCGCTGCCGCAGAACAGCTCCATGGAGAGAGGCTTCAGCTGGGAGAGGTGAGTGGTTGGCAGTCAGAAAGGAGAGAGGCGATCAGAGTGGGAAAGGAGCATTGGAGGACACTCAGTTCACACTGTATGTGAAGGGAGAGATCTCTCAGGAAGGCTTTTCCTTTTTTTTTTTTTTTTTTTTTTGAGATAGAGTCTTGCTCTGTTGCCCAGGCTGTAGTGCAGTGGTGCAGTCTTACTGCAACCTTCGCCTCCCAGGTTCAAGCGATTCTCCTTCCTCAGCTTCCCTAGTAGCTGGGATTACAGGTGCATACCACCACGCCTGGCTAATTTTTGTATTTTTAGTAAAGACAGGGTTTACCAGTCTTTACTAAAGGGTTTCACCAGTTTTTACTAAAAATACAAAAATTAGCCAGGCATGGTGGTATGCCAGGCTGGTCTTGAACTCCTTACCACTCGCCTCAGCCTCCCAAAATGCTGGGATTACAGGTGTGAGCCACCACACCTGGCCAAAGGCTTTTCTAGTTATCCAAAGGCACCATGGTGGGCACGTTTTCCCCTTTAAGGCTAATGCCCAGGAGTGAGAACTCTTCTGTTTTGGATGTGAGAGGGGTTGTGCTGTGAAATGGCTGGGGATAAACAGGAGGACCACACCCTCTTAGGGTGTCCTCAGGGATTCTGTAGCACCGAGTCAGTTGTGTGAATGCAATTGGGGAAGCTGAGCTCTGAGCACTCAGCTCCCTTTCGTCATAATCAGACAGCAGGATGATGTCAATGGCCATGGAGGCCTGACCAGTGCCTCCCTAGGTACCAGCTGGCCGTGACCCAGCGGAAGGAGGAGGAGCCCAGTAGCAGCAGCATCTTCAATCAGAATGACCCTTGGGCCCCCACTGTGGATTTCAATGACTTCATCAACAATGAGACCATTGCTGGAAAGGTCAGCTGGCAGGGGTGGGGGACACTAGAGGAGCCTTACTTTCTCTTGGGAGGGTCCCTGAAAACCACCTGCTGTCCTCAGGGGTGGTGCTGTTTCCTGCCTTCTGCACTTCAGGGAATCTGATTATTATCCTTTGAGGGAATCTTCCTGAACTGGGTGTCCATATGCAGACACTGAGTGAGGCCCTGGGCCTGATATCCTAGAGATCCTGAGATCCTGAGGCCTTGAGATCCTAGAGCCCTTGTAGTTCCAGTTTCATGGACTGAATCCTTTCAAGGCTCCAGGACTCAAGGAGGGATGGAAGTTACCAGGGAAAATGACATCTCCTGTATCTGAAGCTTCTCTTCCTGACTTGATGAATTTCACAATGTTAGCCTGTTTCTGCTTCCCAGCCATGGTTCTCACTCCTCCACCCTTCTTCCCTCAGTTGTGGGGAACTCTTAGAGACTTAGGGGAAGAGGAGCTGAAGTAGCCTGTGGGCTTCACCCTCTGGTAGGCAGAGGGCAATATAATGGGAAATGTCAGAGATGGAGGCTGCAGGGCAGAGACAAGAAGGCAGGTGTTCCTAATATGAAACGGACTCTGCTTATGCTTTGACTTCTATCCAGTAGGAAAAAATCTTTAAAGACTCAAGATTCCTTGGCAGCTGATCCCTACCAGGAAGTGTCCTCAGCAAAGCCAGACCTCATGATCCTCTTCCTTCTCCCCTGCTAGGACTTGGTGGCCTGGGTGACAGCTGGTTTTCTGCACATCCCACATGCAGAGGACATTCCTAACACGGTGACTGTGGGGAACGGCGTGGGCTTCTTCCTCCGACCCTACAACTTCTTTGACGAAGACCCCTCCTTCTACTCTGCCGACTCCATCTACTTCCGAGAGGACCAGGATGCCGGGGCCTGTGAGGTCAACCCCCTGGCTTGCCTGCCCCAGGCTGCTGCCTGTGCCCCCGACCTCCCTGCCTTCTCCCACGGGGGCTTCTCTCACAACTAGGCAGTCCCTGGGATGGGACATATGGCCAAGGGCTCCAGGCCAGGGCGTGAGGGATGGGGAGCAGCTGGGCACTGGGCCGGCAGCCTGGTTTCCTTTCCCATACACCAGGACTTTTTCTTCTACTGCCCTCCCTCGCATCCCCCTCTATGCTGAGCCTGTGATGGCTGACACAGGGGACACTCAGCATTGTGGATGCCAGCTGTGCTGAGTTCCCATCCAGAGAGGCGAGGCATGGCGCAGCCTGGAGCCTGAAGCTGTGGCCAAGGGCTTCCCTAGATGGTTCCCTTTTTTGCTGTCTGGCTTTCCCAAATCTTTTTAGGCCATTTCCAAGGACTCTAAAAGGGAATGATTCCCTGGAGATCCCATGGTAGGGTTACCAGTCCTGCAAGTCCATAGCCGAGCTGGGAGGGATGCTTCTGCTCACATTCCCTCTCATCCAGGTTCCTTCTCTTCCTCCCTCTCATCCAGGTTCCTTCTCTTCCTCCCTCTTACCTACTTCCTCCTCCTCCTGGTCCTGCCTTCTCTTCCATGCTGCAATTTCTCCTGAAGCCTGACGGGGTATCCCTATGTCCCAGCCCCTGGTGCTCCCCCAGACCTCAGTTCTTAATCAACTTCAGTCTCCTCTCCAGCCCTTTGGAAGTCTCAAAGATGCAATGGGACACCTAATTGGAGTGGCCGATCCTTGTGTGTCCCTTGTGTCTGTTGCTTATTGGGAGTAGGAGTTGCTGCCACCTCTGTCCTGGCGCAGGGCATGGTTCAGGACAGCTCCCTCTGCACATTTGTGTCTGCCTGCCTTGCGCTCTGTAGAGGAGGATGGTCATCGTGACAGAAGCAGCCCAAGTTAGCATTTCAAGTGGTTTTGAGGATTCAACGATAATGAAGAATAGTCATTTTGTGCCTGGGCTCTGTATTCTGCGACAGCCTGTTTGGGAGGCTGGAAACCAAGGGTGGGCATCAAAGGTGAGAAATCAAAGCCCCTAAACTCCAGCCACCCAGCCAGGGGCTGTCCAGTCGCGTTCAGGCATGCAAATGAGCTGGGCCCTGGGTGGGTGGGGGCGGGGCGGGCCTGGCCTAAGGGGAAGGGGCCTGGCCTGGCCTGGCTTGGGCTCCCCCCACCACTGCTGTCCCTCCTGAGGTCTGGATTGGGGATGGGGACAGAGAAATAGAAAGAGTTGAGAAACAACAGAAACATTTTTCCCTAAAGAATTAGTTCTCATACAGCCTTACAATACAATGCAGCTAAAAAAAAATTGTATGTCTTTATATACTAATATATAATAATCTTCAAGTGAAAATAGCAAGACACAGAAATGTGTATAGCGCACTTCCCATTTGTGTTTTAGAAAGGAGGAGAATATAAATACATGTGTGCTTATGTATGTCTATCCATTCAGAAGAAATGGATAACACTGATTACTTCTGGGAGGGGAACCAGGAGGTTGAGGACAGGGGAGGGAAGGCTCTCAGCACTTATGCCCTTTTGTACATTTTGAATTTTAAACGTGACTGTATTATCTATTCAAAATAAACAATAAATGGGCCCAAACGGGAACTGACTTTTTTTTTTTTTTGAGACAGAGTTTCGCTCTTGTTACCCAGGCTGGAGTGCAATGGCGCGATCTCAGCTCACCGCAACCTCTGCCTCCTGGGTTCAGGCAATTCTCCTGCCTCAGCCTCCCGAGTAGCTGGGATTACAAGTGTGTGCCATCATGCGCAGCTAGTTTTTGTATTTTTAATAGAAACAGGGTTTCACCATGTTGACCAGGATGGTCTCAATCTCTTGACCTTGTGATCCACCGGCCTCGGCCTCCTGAGACTTTTTTTTTAATTACATTTTTTAAAAGCAGGTTGGGGGTAGGATAAAGTGGGTTAAGGAATGGGATCAGGGATGAAATTTTCTCAAGTTCCTGAGAGCCAGAGAAGCAGGTGTGGCCTCTAGTAACTCCTTTTGCCTTCTCATGCTTGTACATCTTTTTTTTTTTTTTTTCCTGAGACAGAGTCTTGCTCTGTTGCCCAGGCTGGAGTGCAATGGCATAATCTCAGCTCACTGCAACCTCTGCCTTCCAGGTTCAAGCAATTCTCCTGCCTTAACCTCCTGAGTAGCTGGGATTACAGGCGTGCACCACCATGCCCAGCTAATTTTGTATTTTTAGTAGAGATGGGGTTTCACCATGTTGGTCAGGTTGGTCTTCAACTCCTGACCTCAGGTGATCCGCCCGCCTTGGCCTCCCAAAGTGTTGGGATTACAGGTGTGAGCCACCATGCCTGGGCTGAACTTCTTCTTTCAATGCATATACTGTTGTCCCTACCCCTTTACAGCTCCTTCTAATGGCTACTTGCATCATCGCCAGTGCTGGGGGAAGGGGAGCAAAGAAATTCAGATATCCACCCCCACTCACTCAGCATCTCGTTCACTTGAATTTAGTTGCCTTGAGCCCCATCTCCAGACCAAAGATCATGAGTGTTTGTGGTGTGTGTGTAATTGTGTGTCAACTGTCACACACTTTTATATGAAAACGTGACCTGTTGTGTCTGCCTCCTTACGTCTCAGCATGGTGATGAAGCCACCTGCTCCAGGCCCCAGATGAGGGGAGCCAGAATGGGCATCTAGATTCTTAGAGCATCAGTTCAGCTCAAGTCAGGAGGGCCGCAAGGCGAACCCCCAGCCCCATGCCCCAATTCAGTCTCTTCCTTAGGCCACAGAATTTGTCTGGAGTCTTAGCCTCAGACTTGTCAATTGTCGAGGAGTGATTACTGGCTGAGGATGGCAGGTTCTGAAGGAACTGGTGCCGCCGAGGCTCAGATCTTTAGGACCTGGGACCCAGTGGCCTGAGGTGAAGGAGCTCGACAAGGATATCCCTGAGGCTTGGGTCACAGGGCATGACTAGGACTTCTCCAGGAATGTGAAGACAACCCCCTCACAACCCCCTGTGAGGACATGAGATGTGGCTGCTTTCCTCACCTCTTGCTTTTGAGATGAAGTTTCACTCTTGTCTCCCAGGCTGAAGTGCAATGGCACGATCTCGGCTCACTGCAACCTCTGTTTCCCAGGTTCAAGTGAGTCTTCTGCCTCAGCCTCCCAAATACCTGGGATTAGAGGCACATGCCACTACACCCAGCTAATTTTGTATTTTTAGTAGACACGGGGTTTCTCCATGTTGGTCAGGCTGGTCTTGAACTCCTGAGCTCAGGCAATCTGCCCACCTCGCCCTCCCAAAGTGCTGGGATTACAGGCCTGAGCCACCGCGCCTGACCCACTTTTCTTTTTGTTTATTTTTCTGAGATAGTATATTGCTCTGTTCCCCAGGCTGAAGTGTAATAGCAGCTAATTTTTTTTTTCACTTTTTTGTAGAGATGTGGGTCTCACTATGTTGCCCAGGCTGATCTCCAACTTCTGGGCTCAAACAATCTTCCTGCCTCAGCATCCCAAAGTTCTGGGATTATAGACATGAGCCACCATGCCCAGTTACTTTCCTTTCTTTTCCTTCCTTCCTTCCTTCCTTCCTTCCTTCCTTCCTTCCTTCCTTCCTTCCTCCCTCCCTCCCTCCCTCCCTCCCTCCCTTCCTTCCTTCCTTTCTTCTTTCCTTCCTTCTTACTTTTTTTTCTGAGATGGAGTCTTGCTCTGTCACACAGGCTAGAGTGTAATGGCACAATCTTGGCTCACTGCAACCTCTGCCTCCCAGGTTCAAGCGATTCTTGTGCCTCAGCCTCCCAAGTAGCTGGGATTACAGACATACACTACCACACCCATCTAATTTTTGTATCTTTTGTAGAGACGGGGTTTCACCATGTTGGCCAGGCTGGTCTCGAACTCCTGACCTCAGATGATCCACCTGCCTCAGCCTCCCAAAGTGCTGAGATTATAGGCATGAGCCACATTACCTGGCCTTATTATTATTATTTTTTTTTATGTTAGATAGCCAGCTCTATGACCTTAGAAATTAAACTACAGGCATGTTTGTTGAGGGTGCTCACCTTTAGGGTTAGGTCAGACTCTGGAATCTGGGACTTTCCCAGGACGCTCTGCTAGTCTTCAGTGGACAATGATCACTGCTGTTAAACTCACTTTGCACTGCCCTGGCCAAGCCAAGCCTTGCCAAGGTGAAGACAGAGGAGGGGCCTGGGCATGAGTTCCTCTCTGAGGCTGTCACTTCCCTAAGGCCTTGCTTGGGTAGGAGAGTGGGCGCTAGCCTCTTTCCCTCAAAACTCTCTCTCTCTCCGCGCCCCCACCCCACCCACTACTTGTGAATCTCACAAAATTCCCCAAAGACCTGCCCTCTGCAGGGTACCTCTCAAAAACCTTTCTGCTTCCCACGTTGATCCAGGGAGCTGTCATCTGTAATCCAAACATTTAGGGAGGCTGCAGCACAAGAGCCCAGAAATTTGAGACTGCCGTGAGCTGTGTGATGACACCACTGCACTCCATGCACTCTAGCCTGGGTGACAGGGCAAGACCATGTCTCAAAAAAAAGTCTTTTTAAAATAGCTTTTTCACGAAGAGCTTCTACAGAACATGAAAACCAGCTCAGCAAGAGAAAATGCGGTTCTTGTTTTCCCTGAGGACAAGGAGGGCTCGCCTGACTGGAGAGGGGAGTTATTATGTTGAAATTCCATCCTGGGGGCAAGGGGAACCCTACTTTTCTCACAGCCTTGAAATGAACCCCACCACTTCTACAGCTTTAAAGAATAAGAGAAAGAGGCTGGGCGCAGTGGCTCAGGCCTGTAATCTCAGCATTTTGGGAGGCCGAGGCTGGAGGCTATAATTACAAGGTCAGGAGACCAGCCTGGTCAATATGGTGAAACACCGTCTCTACTAAAAATACAAAAATTAGCCTAGGGTATGGTGGCATTCGCCTGTAGTCCCAGCTACTCTGAAGGCTGAGGCAGGAGAATTGCTTGAACCCAGGAGGTGGAGGTTGCAGTGAGCCGAGATTGTACCACTGCACTCCAGCCTGGGTAACAGAGTAAAACTGTCTTGAAAAAAAAAGAAAGAGAGAAAAAAAAGAGGTTAAAAAAAAAAAAGGAAAGAAAGAGAAAGAATGAACAAGAGATAGAAAAACCAGGCAAGTTTTCTTACCAAAATATGTCAAAGTTTCTTTATCAAAATACATCCAATGGCATAAACGTTTCTGGATAGCATGACACTTCTGGTGTTGATTTATCTGGTTAAACTCTCCAGGTCTCCAGCTGTCTGTTTCACTGCCTTCCTGCAACCACAACCTTGCTGAAAATATGCGCCACGCAAGGCTTGATGATCTTACCTCCTCTGCCCACTCCCATCCTCATCCCCAACTCCCACTAAAGAGGCTGATCCTTGGCTGCTCCCCCCTTGTGCTGAGCCGTTCCAGGTTCCTGTGTCTTTGCTGGAACAACCCCTTCCCCTTCTCTGCCAGGTGAATGCATCATCTTCAAGGTTGGCTCGTGTAGTGGGGAGACCCCATAAGTGGCAAGGCAGGAGTCAGAAGCCTCAGCCTATTTCCATATAAATAATGAAGAAGAAAGTAACTAGAAACATAACTGTAGTATTTATTAGTTATTCATAGGAGATCTTAGTTATTCATAGGTGATCCTAATTCTTTTACTAATGCCTCTCAGGTGGGAAGTGTGAACCTGGGGTGACACTGTGAAAGAAATGACCCTGGCAGGTGCGGTGGCTCACGCCTATAATCCCAGCACTTTGGGAGGCTGAGGCGGGTGGATCACGAGGTCAAGAGATCGAGACCATCCTGGTCAACAAGGTGAAACCCCATCTCTACTAAAAATACAAAAATTAGCTGGGCATGGTGGTGAGTGCCTGTAGTCCCAGCTACTCGGGAGGCTGAGGCAGGAGAATTGCTTGAACCCAGAAGGCGGAGGTTGCCATGAGCCGAGATCGTGCCATTGCACTCCAATCTGGGTAACAACAGTGAAACTCCATCTCAAAAAAAAAAAAAAAGAAATGACCCTAAGGCAAGACGCTTTAAGCCCTGTCACACCCCTGGAAGGGCTGCTGGAAGGCGCCTTGGCTGTGTGGCAGCTCCAGTGCGGAGAGCGCCTGTGGTTTAGCCAGCTGGGGAAGGTGATGTCCAAGATGGCTGAGACATCTCCTTCCTCAGGGGAGTGAGGAGAAAACTCCGCTCCCCCAAGCTCTTTCGGTAGGCCTGACGGCTGTCAGGGAAGCCCACAGACATCCCGGGGCTTAACTGTCTCTATGTGATGCTGTGCTTCAGCGGTCACGTTCCATGTCCACTCTCATGTTCCACCTCCGCACCTGGTTCCTTTTGTCTTAGAAGAGTTAATCAGTAAAAGTGATGTAAATCTTAATGTCTTTGTTCTTTCTTGACAAGTATGGAAAGAGCTGACGCATTATGCTCCTCACCTCATCTCGGCTACTAGAAGGTCTTAGGCCCCTACCTAAATGACACGTGATGTACTTGACCCTATCACTGACCACCACCAATGCCACGTCCTACCTACCCTGCCCCCGGCTTTGTACTCAATAAAAGTCAGAGCGCGTGGGCACTCAGGGCCACTGCCGGACTCGAGCTTTGGTTAGCAGTGGACCCCTGGGCCCAAACTCTCTTTTCTCTATCTCTGTGTCTTGTGTCTTTTATTTCTACAGTTTCTCCTCTCCACACCAGCAGAGAGGGGCTCAAAGGACCCTGTAGGGCTGGACCCTACAGGCTGAAACATCTCTTCCTGAGAAGTCTTCCTAGATGTGTCCAGTTTGGAGAGGATTCTTCTCTAGGTACACGTGGGAAGGACATCTCCCTTCTGGAATCCTCAGTCTCTTCCATTTCCCCTTGGGACCTGGCTGTGCAGATGACAGTGGCTTTCCACATATTTGTCACCTGGAAAAGAATCTGCCCAGCCATTGGCTGTGAAGCACATAGGCAGCTTCACTCTCCATGTCGGCACCATTTTGGAAAAGGATGTTCAGGCCTGGGATAACTCCAAAGCCACGTTTGCCAACCACACCTGACCTCTCCCCTGGCCTAATGATCAGTCCAGTGCAAGGGGACACATGAAGGTCTCGGTTATACTCTCCATCCTGTCCCCACACTCACCCCCACCCCAATGAGCCAGGCAGCTTCTGGCTTGTTCTGCACCCTGCACGTCCCCTGCAGTGACTTAGGGTGCTTGGGGCGTCCACAAATCTGACCTGGCTCAGCCCTTCAACCAGCAGCTCCCCATCAGTTGCTTTGCCTTATCATCTTATTCTCAGGCTTCGCTCAGGCTGCTGCTAGGATTCAGGTTGATGGATGGGGGAGGGAGAGAGTGGTGGGGGCAGAGCCTGGAGGACATCAAAAACTAGAGGGGCTGAGGATGGTGTCTCACGCCTGTAATCCCAGAACTTTGGGAGGCCGAGGCGGGTGGATCACATGAAGTTTGGAGTTCGAGACCAGCCTAACCAACATGGAGAAATCCCATCTCTACTAAAAAAATACAAAAATTAGCCAGGTGTAGTGGCATGCACCTGTAATCCCAGCTAACTGGGAGCCTGAGGCAGGAGAATCACTTGAACCCAGGAGGCGGAGGTTCTGGTAAGCCAAGATCGTGCCATTGCACTTCAGCCTGAGCAACAAGAGTGAGACTCCATCTCAAAAAAAAAAAAAAAAAAGGCCGGGTGCCATGGCTCACACCTGTAATCCTAGCACTTTAGGAAGCCAAAGCGGGCAGATCACAAGGTCAGGTTTTTGAGACCAGCCTGACCAACACAGTGAAACCCCATCTCTACTAAAAATACAAAAATTGGCCCGGCGCAGTGGCTCAAGCCTGTAATCCCAGCACTTTGGGAGGCCGAGGCGGGTGGATCACGAGGTCAAGAGATCGAGACCATCCTGGTCAACATGGTGAAACCCCGTCTCTACTAAAAATACAAAAAAATTAGCTGGGCATGGTGGCGCATGCCTGTAATCCCAACTACTCGGGAGGCTGAGGCAGTAGAATTGCCTGAACCCAGGAGGCAGAGATTGCGGTGAGCCGAGATCGCGCCATTGCACTCCAGCTTGGGTAACGAGCGAAACTCCGTCTCAAAAAAAAAAAAAAAAAAAAATTAATTGGGCGTGGTGGCACGCACCTGTAATCCCAGCTACTTGGGAGGCTGAGGCAGGAGAATCGCTTGAACCTGGGAGGTGAAGGTTGCTGTGGGCTAAGATCATGCCACTGCACTCCAGCCTAGGCGACAGAGCTGGACTCCGTCTCAAAAACAAAACAAAACAAAAACTAGAAGAGGGAAGGAGAGAATCTGGCCATGGAGGGTGGCCAGGTAAGTTTCCCTTGCAGTCTTGCAGCTGGGAGAAAAGTTCCATCTGGAGGGAAGAGAAAGGAAAGCTGAGGACAGTCTCCTTGCCTTCCTCTTGTGCCTTCCCAGCTCTGATCTCCAAACCCACCTCTCCGCCCACTTGGTTCATTCACCCTGACCCAGGGTGAGTGGTTTGATTTGGAACAGGAAGACAGAGGCTTACGTGGGCCTTTTAAAGTCAAAGTTTCTAACTCTGCCCCACCTCCTGAACCTGGCCGGATTCCTAGTGCCCTCTAGCTCCTCCCCCAACCTCTCTGCCCTTGGGGGTTTTTCACAATATCCATCATTCCTCTTTACCAGCAGCACCACAGAGAGACCAGAACCCTCCAGAGGCTGAGAGAAACATCTTACACTCAGGTCCTCTCTGTTTATCGTTCTATTTGCACTCTGCCTTCAGAACCAAGAGCCTGAAGACGACCCAGGAGCTTTAGGTATGGCCGTCTTCATTATTTTGTCCCTATTTAGTGTTCTGGTGACAGGCATAAGTGAAGGTGGGGCTGGGAGTGAGAAAGGAGGTGAGAGGGAATGTCAACTGAACCAGCTTCCCCGCTGCCCCTCCATATCTCCCAGTGCCCAGCCTTGGCCACACCCTGGCCAGAGCCAGCTGTTTGCAGACCTGAGCCGAGAGGAGCTGACAGCTGTGATGCGCTTTCTGACCCAGCGGCTGGGGTCAGGACTGGTGGATGCAGCCCAGGCCCAGCCCTCAGACAACTGTGTCTTCTCAGTGGAGCTGCAACTGCCTCCTAAGGTGGCTGCCCTGGCCCACCTGGACAGGGGGAGCCCCCCACCTGCCCGGGAGGCACTGGCCATCGTCTTCTTTGGTGGACAACCCCAGCCCAACGTGAGTGAGCTGGTGGTGGGGCCGCTGCCTCACCCCTCCTACATGCGGGATGTGACCGTGGAGCGTCATGGAGGCCCCCTGCCCTATCACCGCCGCCCCATGCTGTTCCGAGAATACCTGGACATAGACCAGATGATCTTCGACAGAGAGCTGCCCCAGGCTTCTGGGCTTCTCCACCACTGTTGCTTCTACAAGCCCCGGGGACGGAACCTGGTGACAATGACCACAGCTCCCCGTGGTCTACAGTCAGGGGACCGGGCCACCTGGTTGGGCCTCTACTACAACATCTCAGGGGCTGGGATCTTCCTGCACCCCCTGGGCTTGGAGCTGCTGGTGGACCACAAGGCCCTGGACCCTGCCCACTGGAACATCCAGAAGGTGTTCTATCAAGGCCGCTACTACGACAGCCTGGCCCAGCTGGAGGCCCAGTTTGAGGCTGGCCTGGTGAACGTGGTGCTGATCCCACACAATGGCACAGGTGGGTCCTGGTCCCTGAAGTCCCCTGTGCCCCCGGGTCCGGCTCCCCCTCTGCAGTTCTATCCCCAGGGTCCCCGCTTCAGTGTCCAGGGAAGTCGAGTGACCTCCTCACTGTGGACTTTCTCCTTTGGCCTCGGAGCATACAGTGGCCCAAGGATCTTTGACATTCGCTTCCAAGGGGAGAGAGTGGCCTATGAAGTCAGCGTCCAGGAGGCCTTGGCCATCTATGGAGGCAATTCTCCTTCTGCTGTACGAAGCCGGTATATAGACAGTGGCTTTGGCTTGGGCCACTTCTCCACACCCCTGACCCGTGGGGTGGACTGCCCCTACCTGGCCACCTACGTGGACTGGCACTTCCTTTTGGAGTCCCAGGCCCCCAAGACAATACGCGATGCCTTTTGTGTGTTTGAGCAGAACCAGGGTCTCCCCCTGCGGCGGCACCACTCAGATCTCTACTCTTACTACTTTGGGGGCCTTGCGGAAACGGTGCTGGTCATCAGATCTGTGTCCACTATGCTCAACTATGACTATGTGTGGGATATGGTCTTCCACCCTAATGGGGCCATAGAAATCAGACTCCACGCCACCGGCTACATCAGCTCAGCATTTCCCTTTGGTGCTGCCCAGAGGTATGGGAACAAAGTTTCGCAGCACACCCTGGGCACGGTCCACACCCATAGCGCCCACTTCAAGGTGGATCTGGATGTAGCAGGTAAGGCGTTCTGGCAGAGGCAAAGGTGCTGCGGGGTGAGAAGGGTGAGCTGAAGTCTCCATGCCTAGCTTTAAAAGTTTTCGCTGGGCTGGGTGCAGTGTCTCATGCCTATAATCCCAGCACTTTGGGAAGCCAAGGTGGGCGGATCACTTGAGGTCAGAAGTTCGAAACCAGCCTGGCCAACATGGAGAAATCCTGTCTCTACTAAAAATACAAAAATTAGCTGGGCATGGGCACACTTACAGTCCTAGCTACTCAGGAGGCTGAGGCAGGAGAAATGCTTGAACCTGGAAGTCACAGGTTGCACTGAGCTGAGATCGCGTCACTGCGCTCTATCCTGTGTGACAGAGCCAGACTTTGTTGCAAAAAAGTCTTCAATACTTTAAAAATATTACCTCTTTGAGGCCGGCCATGATGGCTCACACCTGTAATCCCAGAACTCTGGGAGGCCGGGTCAGTAGTTTGAGACCAGCCTGGCCAACATGGTGAAACCCCATCTCTACTAAAAATAAAAACTTAGTAGGATGCAGTGGCACATGCCTGTAATCCCAGCTACTTGGGAGGCTGAGTTAGGAGAATCGCTTGAACCCAGGAGGCGGAGATTGAAGTGAGCCGAGATTGTGCCACTGCACTCCAGCCTGGGTGACAAAGTGAGACTCCATCTCAATAATAAAAATTACCTCTGCTCTTACAGAATTTATTATATTGTATACTATACAATGTATAGTTGTATGCTATGTACAGATACGATATACTGATATAAGTATTTAGATTTCTGTTGCTCAAATATTATCATAATGTACCTACTTTTTGCCACATCTGTTTTTTCACATAACAACACCATTCAAGCAAGCACTGCAGATGTGTGAACGCACTTGCACCAAGCAAGCACCCACTATGCAAGTTAACAGAAGAAACAACATTGTTGCTCTCAGGTGGTTTACATTCTGTTTTTTTCCTTTTTCTTTTTTGAGACAGGGTCTCACTCTATCACCCGAGTTGGAATGCAGTAGTACGATTAGAGCTCATTTCAACCTCCAACTCCTAGGCTCATGTGATCCTCCCACCTCAATCTCCCAAAATGCTGGGATTATGGGTGCGAGCCACCGTAATGATAACCACCCTTATCAGTTTTTGGTGGCGAGAGCACTAAAATTTACTCTTAGCAATTTTCAAGAATATAATACATTGTTATTAACTATAATCACCATACTGTACAATAGATCTCTTTGGGTTTTTTGTTGTTGTTGTTTGAAACATGGTCTTACTCTGTCACGCAGGCTGGAGTGCAGTGGCGTGATTATGGCTCACTGCAGCCTCAACTTCCTGGCCTCAAGCAATCTTCCAATCCTCCCACTTCAGCCTCCTAAGTAGCTGGGACTGTGGGTACATGCCACCATGCTTGGCTAATTTTTTTTTTTTTTTTTTGAGACAGAGTCTCACTCTGTCACCCAGGCTGGAGTGCAGTGGTGCAGTCTTGGCTCACTGCAACCTCTGCCTCCCAGATTCAAGTGATTCTTCCACCTCAGCTTCCCGAGTAGCTGGGACTGCAGGTTCATGCCACCACACCCAACTAATTCTTATATTTTCAGTAGAGACGGGTTTTCACTGTCTTGGCCAGGCTGGTCTCAAACTCCTGACCTCATGATCCGCCTGCATCAGCCTCCCAAAGTGCTGAGATTACAGGCATGAGCCACTGTGCCCAGCCTGTTGCTTGGCTAATTAAAAAAAATTTTTTTTAATAGAGATGAGGATCTTGCTGTGTTGCCCAGGCTGGTCTTGAACTCCTGGGCTCAAGCGATTCTGCCTCCTCAGCCTCCCAAAGTGCTGGGATTACAGGCATGAGCCACCATGCCCAGTCCAATAGATCTCTTGAACGTCTGAAATTTTGTATCCATTGAGCTACATCTTCCCAACCTCGCCCTCCTTAACCCCCTGGTAACCTCCACTGTACTCTCTACTGCTATGAGTTCAACATTTTTTAGATTCCACGTACAAGTGAGATCATACAGTATTGTCCTTCTGTGTCTGACTGACTTCACTGAAGCCCTAGGTTCATCCATGTTGTTGCAATGAGATCTTCTTTTAAGGCTGAAGAGTATTTCATTATGTATATATATCACATTTTCTTTATCCTTAAATTTTTTTTCCTTATTTCTTATACATTTATTAATTGGGATTTTCCGTAAGGAAGAGTTGGCCCTCCTTTTTCACTTATTTGTGTTTTCAATTATTTATTCAAATTGTATAGACTCATGGTTTTTTACTATACTCTGACGGTTAGAACCCAGTACTACCATTTATTTTGTTCCTTACATTTTTCCAACTTTGGCCATCGGGAGGTCCTTCAGATTAGTTCCTGTGTCCTTTGCACATGCCTCCGCACTTTCTTGAGCACTTCCTTGCTTTCTGGCACCCAAAACATTTCAATTTCATCTGGCATTTTCCCTGCTCCTACCCTAGAATTAACCTTGTCTCCAAGGAGATCAGGTTCATTTTATTGGTGAATGGTATTTAAAAACCATGATCTGGGCATCAAGTTTGCTCATTATTACTGGGATGTCATTGCTTTTAGGCCCTCTCAGTGGACTTAGCTAGAAAATTTAAGCATATATCTAACGAACCCATACACACACATCTATCTTTATCTCGTATCTAAATGATGACAACTTTTAAAGCACTTGTAACAGTCCATGACACATAGTGGGCCCTTGAGAAATAATAGCTATTGTGGAGAGATAAATAATAGCTATTGTTGTGATTAGCCACATGAGCCTACTTGTGTGCACAGACTATAAAGAACTCTTAGTCTGCAGCCGGGCACAGTGGCTCACACCTGTAATCCCAGCACTTTGAGAGGCCGAGGCAGGTGAATCACCTGAGGTCAGGAGTTCAAGACCAGCCTGGCCAACATGGCATAACCCTGTCTCTACTAAAAATACAAAAATCAGCTGGGCGTGGTGGTGTGTGCCTGTAATTCCAGCTACTCTGGAGGCTGAAGCAGGAGAATCACTTGAACCCAGGAGGCAGAAATTGCAGTGAGCCGAGATCATGCCACTGTACTGCAGCTTGGGTGACAAGAGAGAAACTTCATCTCAAAAAAAAAAAAAAACTCTTAGTCTGCAATTCTCACCTAAGGGTGGAAACACTGGGATATGGATTAGGGGCAATGAACCTACAAAAGGAAACTAAGCATTTGCTGAATCAGTCTCTCCTCTCTCCTGGTCCTTGTAAGGTGTAGAGGGAGCTACCAGCAGGGTTTGATTTGTTGTTCCTTGTCTCAGATCACTTAACTTGACTCCTAATATAGGACCTAGTTAGGCTCAAAATCATTCAGACTCCAAAAGTTCAGGGAACAGATTGTGTCTTAAGCCCTGCTCCCAGCTCCCTGCCTAGTTTCAAACTGCAAAAGCTCCCTCCAAGCCCCAGCAGCATCAGGCCCAGTGCTGGTTTTCCTTCCCTTTGGTCCCCATGTCTACTATTCCTGTGTTGTGGAGTCTCTCTATGCGGTCTTCCTCTATGTGCTGATGTGTGGGCAGTGTAAGGCCAGACTAAGACCCAGTTCTCCAGCACTGCCATGGTATTAACTGTGTCTCCTTGTTGACCAACCAAGGTACATGATTGAATTCTCTCAGCCTCAGTTGTCCCATCTGTCAAATGAAGATGATTATAGTTCCTCCTTTATGAGATTGTTGTAGAAGTGAAAGCATTAACACACAGAAGGCACTCTGCATGCTGCCTGCACAGCTCCATCAGGCTCAGTCAATGTGAGACTTATTTTCATGATAAGGTAGTCCTGGCGATGTCACAGAGCTTCAGATGTGAGGGGAAGGCTTCAGGTCAGAGGGAATGCGACCCCGCCCATTGCCCACGAGGTTGTTCTAACCTTGAGTAAACACCCTCCTTTGCAGCCTGTCAGAGGGAGGAGGCTGGTGGAGGCCCAGGTGCAAGGCATTTGGAATTATTACGAGAAGACACTTGGGAGAAACACCTCCTTCAAATCCCTGGACTGGGGCTATCTCCGGGAGAGGGAAGAGAAGCAGGGCACACTAGTTCTGGGCTGCTCTTTGGCTCCCACTTTCAAGCCAGGTGGGGGCAGAGTCCAGAGGAGTAAGGGCAGTTGCAAGACAGGCCCTCCCCCATCCTACCCTGAGCAGGACTAGAGAACTGGGTCTGGGCCGAGGATATGGCCTTTGTCCCCATGGCTGTACCCTGGAGCCCTGAGCACCAGATGCAGAGGCTGCAGGTGACCCGGAAGCTGCTGGAGACGGAGGAGCAGGCTGCCTTCCCCGTGGGAAGTGCCACCCCTCGCTACCTGTACCTGGCCAGCAATCACAGCAACAAGTGGGGTCACCCTCGGGGCTACCGCATCCAGATGATCAGCTTTTCTGGGGAGCCACTGCCACAGAACAGCTCCATGGAGAGAGGCTTCAGCTGGGAGAGGTGAGTGGTCGGCGGTCAGGAGGGAGTGGGGCAGGCACACTGGATCAAGGGCTCCACACTGCTCCACCTCCTATAGGTACACACAAACACACACACATTCCTGTGGCCACAATCTGTAGCCACTCAAAACAAAGCCTAATGGGTGGGTGGAGGAATGCTGAGATACGAGGCATTGAAGGAAATCTAGGAAAATATTAATGGTAGACTCTAGACTGTGAGTATGTGAATATTCACCATACAATTCTTGCAACTTTTCTGTATATTTAAAACATTCACTGGGCCGGGTGCGGTGGCTCACACCTGTAATCCCAGCACTTTGGGAGGCTGAGGCAGGTGGATCACCTGAGATTGGGAGTTCAAGACCAGCCTGATCAACATGGAGAAACCCTGTCTCTACTAAAAATACAAAAATTAGCCGGGCATGGTGGCACATGTCTGTAATCCTAGCTACTTGGGGGACTGAGGCAGGAGAATCGCTTGAACTCGGAAGGTGGAGGTTATGGTGAGCCGAGATTGTGCCATTTCACTCCAGCCTGGGCAACAAGAGTGAAACTCCATCTCCAAAAAACAAACAAAAACATTCACATGAAAGGTTGGAGGAAAAACACAGTGAGCTAGGAACACAGATTGGAGGGAGGGTTCCCTAAAATAGAGGCACTTGAGATACTGAACTTGACCTAGGATGGGAAACAGGCCATGTCCGTATGTACGTTTCCAAGGCCAAGGCTCAACATCATGCTCTGATCCAGATGGACGGATGAGCAACATTCCTGCCTGAAGTCTGCTGGGCCAGTTGATGTTTAAGGTGCAGGAGAGAGGACACATGGGGAAACTCTACAGAGGAGAGAGAGACAAAGACAGAGACAGGCAGTGAGAACTGGACAGAGAATGATCCAGAGGCTCAAGACTCCAAGACTTTGGGACTCATTTCCCACTTGTGTTCACTCTTCGGTGCAGCTTCAGGCAGTGGCACAGTTGATGACTTTGTAGCTCTAATAAAAACTCCTGTAGGTACCAGATGGCGGTAACCCAGAGGAAGGAGGAGGAGCCCAGTAGCACCAGCATCTACAATTTGAATGACCCTTGGACACCCACTGTGGACTTCACTGACTTCATCAACAATGAGACCATTGCAGGGCAGGTCAGTTGCATGCAGTGGTGAGCAGGGAGTTTGGGGTTGGGGAGGGGAGGAGTCAGGGGGACCAGATGAGCCCCTTCACTGCCTCTGGAGCCAGATTCCTCGGGGGTCTTCAGAATCCACTAAGAAAGAAACTGACTGGGTGCAGTGGCTCATGCCTGTAATCCCAGCACTTTAGGAGGCTGAGGCAGGTGGATCTCTTGAGGTCAGGAATTTGAGACATGGTGATGAAACCCCATCTCTACTAAAAATACAAAAACGAGGCCAGGCATGGTGGCTCACACCTATAATCCCAACACTTTGGGAGGCTGAGGTGGACGGATCACCTGAGGTTGGGAGTTTGAGACCAGCCTGACCAACATGGAGAAACCCCATCTCTGCTAAGAATACAAAAATTAGCTGGGCATCATGGCACATGCCTGTAATCCCAGCTATTCAGGAGGCTGAGGCTAGAGAATTGCTTGAACCCAGGAGGTGGAGGTTCCAGTGAGCCCAGATCACACCATTGTGCTCCAGCCTGGACAATGGTATGATGTAAACTCTGTCTCAAAACAAACAAACAAACAAAAACTAGCAGGCTGTGGTGGGGCACACCTGTAATTCCAGCTATTCGGGTGACTGAGGCTTGAATCCAGGAGGTAGTAATTGCAGTGAGTTGAGATCATGCCACTGCACTCCAGACTGGGTGACAGGGCGAGACTGTCAAAAAAGAAAAGAAAAGAAAGGAAAAAAAGAAAAAAAAAAGAAAGAAAGAAACTTTATGATTTCACATTTTTCCTGATGAACTAAGAACATGTAGGTAGGTGAGCTGACTCCCTGTCTGCAAGGTCACTGGGAGGCAGGGCACATCCTCAGCAAAGCCAGACCTCATGATCCTCTTCCTTCTCCCCTGCTAGGACTTGGTGGCCTGGGTGACAGCTGGTTTTCTGCACATCCCACATGCAGAGGACATTCCTAACACGGTGACTGTGGGGAACGGCGTGGGCTTCTTCCTCCGACCCTACAACTTCTTTGACGAAGACCCCTCCTTCTACTCTGCCGACTCCATCTACTTCCGAGAGGACCAGGATGCCGGGGCCTGTGAGGTCAACCCCCTGGCTTGCCTGCCCCAGGCTGCTGCCTGTGCCCCCGACCTCCCTGCCTTCTCCCACGGGGGCTTCTCTCACAACTAGGCAGTCCCTGGGATGGGACATATGGCCAAGGGCTCCAGGCCAGGGCGTGAGGGATGGGGAGCAGCTGGGCACTGGGCCGGGAGCCTGGTTTCCTTTCCCCTGCACCAGGACTCTTTCTTCTACTGCCCTCCCTCGAATCCCCTCTATGCCAGGAGCCTCCTGAGCCTGTGATGGCTGACACAGGGGACACTCAGCCTTGTGGATGCCAGCTGTCGAGTTCCCATCCAGAGAGGCGAGGCATGGCCCAGCCTGGAGCCTGGAGCCTTGGCCAGGTGTTTCCCTAGACCACTCCTGGTTTTCTTCACAGTTTTTTTTTTTTTTTCAATGAGACATAATTTACAGAGCATAAAATTCATCCCTTTAAAGCATACAGTTTCATGTGTTGTTTTGTTTTGTTTTTTGAGACAGAGTTTCACTTTGTTGCCCAGGCTGGAATGCAATGGTGTGATCGCAGCTCACTGCAACCTCTGCCTCGGGGGTTCAACTGAGTCTCCTGCCTCAGCCTCCGGAGTAGCTGAGATTACAGGTGCCAGCGACCATGTCTGGCTAATTTTTTTTTTTTGTATCTTTAGTAAAGACAGGGTTTTCCCATGTTGGCCAAGCTGGTCTCCATCTCCTGACCTCAGGTGATCCACCCGCCTCAGCCTCCCAAAGTGCTGAGATTACAGGTGTGAGTCATCGTGCCAGGCTCAATTTCATGTTTTTTAGTACATTCACAAAGTTTTGCAGCCATTGCCACTAATTCGAGAACATTTTTATCACCACAGAAGGAAACCCTGTGCCTGTTTTTTTTTTTTCTCTTGAGGTGGAATCTCGCTCTGTCACCCAGGCTGGAGTGCGATGGCAGGATCTCTGCTGACTGCAACCTCTGCCTCCCGGGTTCAGCTGATTCTCCTGCCTCAGCCTCCTAGGTTGCTGGGATTACAGGTGCCTGCCACCCCGCCTGGCTAATTTTTGTATTTTTAGTGGACTTTGGATGAGCATAAATGAAAACCAGAACACTGGGCACAGTGGCTCATGTCTGTAATCCCAGCACTTGGGGAGGCTGAGGTGGGCTGATCACCTGAGGCCAGGAGTTCAAGACCAGCCTGATCAACGTGGAGAAACCCTGTCTCTACTAAAAATACAAAAATTAGCTGGACATGGTGTCAGGCACCTGTAATCCCAGCTACTCAGGAGGCTGAGGCAGGAGAATTGCTTGAACCCAGGAGGCAGAGGTGTGGTGAGCCAAGATCACACCACTGAACTCCAGCGTGGGTAACAAGAGCAAAACTTCGTCTCAAAAAAAAAAAAAAAAGAACTGGGACAATTTCCAGGAAGGGATTTGGGGGCGGGAGTAAGGTGCGGAGGAGTGGGGAGGAGGTAGGGTTCAAACATCAAGCTTTCTGAGGTGTGTCAAGGCCAGAGAAACTTACGCAGTATGTGGCATCCACACCTCTGCTCCATCAGTGTCTTTTCCTGGGAGTAAGATCAAGAAGAGAGAGGGGTCCCGGCTAATTTTTGTATATATATATTTTTTTATTTTCTTTTTGTTTTTATTTTTTCCTTTTCTTTCCAGAACCCCTAAGAGAACTTAGAATTAATAATTTTTGTATTTTTAATAAAGATGATTTTACTATGTTGGTCAGGCTGGTCTCGAACTCCTGGCCTCCACCTACCTTAGCCTCCCAATGTGCTAGGATTACAAGTGTGAGCCACCATACCCAGCCCCTTAGAAATGCTGTTTCTAAGAGGGTATCAATATGTCTTTGCACTTCAGAAAACTGGGTCTAGTCAAGGAATAAGGATGGATAGAGGTCAAAATGGAAATGGATTTGGAGAACAGAGTGGGGGTGAGGACAGAGTAGGATGGAAATGAGAGGGGGTCGGGGGGAGGTCAGTGATGGGGAGGGGACAGGATAAGGAACAAGATGAGGAAGGGGGAAGGTGGAGTTGGAGTGGAGATGAGGATGAAAGTGAGGAGGGTTGGGTCATCCTCTGGCCTCTCCTACCATGCCCGTCTACCCAGATGCAAACAAAACTTCATTCACTCATCAGTTTCTGGGACCCTTCCTGACTTGTACTGGTGCAGAAAAATTACTCTCTCCATATTTGCCTTCAAAGAGCTCACAGTCTGGGCTGCAGAGAGGTCTTTTTTATAAACAAAAACACTAGCTGGGCATGGTGGCTCACACCTGCAATCCCAGCACTTTGGGAGGCCAAGGCAGGTGGATCTCATGAGGTCAGGAGTTTGAGAGCAGCCTGGCCAACTTAGTGAAACTCCATCTCTACTAAAAATATGAAAATTATTTAGGCGTGGTGGTGCATACCTGTAGTCCCAGCTACTTGGGAGACTGAGGCAGGAGAATCGCTTGAACCCCAGAGGCAGAGGTTGCAGTGAGCCAAGATTGCACCACTGGACCCCAGCCTGGGCGACAGAGCATGATTCTCTCTCAAAACAAACAAACAACAACAAAAATGAAAACACTGACATAGTGCCAGGCGCAGTGGCTCACGCCTGCAATCCCAGCACTCTGGGAGGCTGAGGTGGGTGGATCACCTGAGGTCGGGAGTTCAAGACCAGCCTGACCAACATGGTAAAACCCCGTCTTAAAAAAAACACTGCCATAATAGCTATGACAGACAAGTGGAGCACAGAAAGAGGAGCCATCTATCACTGGTGGGAGTCTGGGAGGACTTCAGAGAGGAGGTGATGGTTATGTGTGTTTAATTGTATTCATTGATTTATTTCAATTAGTGATACATTCACATGTTCAAAATCCTAAAGGCACAAAAGAACTTGTGCCTGGTGATGGTTGCACAATTCTCTGAATGTACCAAAAACCATGGAAACCATTAAATTAAGCACTTTAAATGGAAAAATGATACAGTATGTGACTCATAGCTCAATGAAATTGTGTTTTAGAAAAGGGTTTGTGTCTCCATCCCACATCTGATTCTAGTCCCTCCCTGAAATCAAGTAATGCAGTGAGTTTCTCCTGTGTCTTTTTCATTGGGAGTCAGAAGTGACATTTGAAGTAGTGAATGAGCTGAATTTAGTCAAGTAGTAGACCGCAAACACAGCATTCTGGCAGTGTGACACAGGCACAAAGGCTTGTGGTTCCGTGAATGCCCCTATGGCTGGAGTGTGGCGTGAGGGCAGCAGAGTGGCAAAGACTGATTGGGGCTGGGTGAGCAGAGCCTTGGAGGCCATGCAAGGCAGTCTGTACTTTATCTGTAAGCAATGATGATCCAGACCTTTAAGCTGCATGAATAACAATGTGACAATAATTTTAAAACACCCAAATCTCCCTCCAACATCCCATTGTCATTCATGTGATTTAAACTGCAGCTCTTGTCTCTAGCACTCATGCGTTCACCTAGTTAGGCAAGTATAGTCTAAATACACTTTTTTATTCTACTTTTTCCGTTTAATATTAATCAGAAGCATTTTTATAGGTTGTCAGGTAGTACTCGAATGGATTTTTTTTCGAGATGAAGTCTCACTCTGTTGCCTAGGCTGGAATGCAGTGGCACGATCTCAGCTCACTGCAACCTCCACCTCCGGGTTCAAGTGATTCTCCTGCCTCAGCCTCCTGAGTAGCTAGGATTACAGGCGCCCGACACCAAGCCCAGCTAATTTTTGTACTTTTAGTAGAGACGGACTTTCACTATGTTGGCAAGGCTGGTCTCGAACTCCTGACCTCATGATCTGCCTGCCTTGACCTCCCAAAGTGCTGCAGTGATCCACTTCACCCAATGGATTTTTTTTTTCCCCTAGAGGAAATTTTGCTGTCATCCAGGCTGGAGTGCAGTGATGCAATCTCGGCTTACTGCAACCTCCGCCTCCTGGATTCACGTGATTCTCCTGCCCCAGCCTCCCAAGTAGCTGGGATTACAGGTGCCCACCATTGGGCCTGGCTAATTTTTGCATTTTTAGTAGAGACGGGGTTTTACCATGTTGGCCAGGCTGGTCTCAAACTCTTGACCTCAGGCGATCCACCTGCCTTGGCCTCTCCAATTGCTAGGATTTATAGGGGTGACCCACTGCTTCCGGCCAAATGGATGGTTTTTAAAGGGTAAGAGGTACTCTATCAAGTTGATGGTAAACAAATCATTCTCCATTGGGCAATTGGGTTGGTTCCAATTTGCTGTCAAGAGGAAGAATGACCCAAATGGATCTTGGCTTTGGACAATGGCCTTTACATGGCCAGCTTACAGGCTCAGAGCTAAAAGGGACTCAGGGAGTCATCTGGGTTCATCCTTAGAGCTTCTGTGGTCATGAGTAAACACCCCATCTGAACCCATTTCTTTATGTGGAAAATGATAATGTATTTAAATCACTTAAAAGCTTTTTAGGCCTTGGTAGATTTCTCTGACACTGGAAGGTCCATCCATAGCCTACCTGCTATGAATCAAAGGAACTATTTGAAGACACTGGGGTCCTGGCCAGGTCAGGTGACTCATGCCTGTCATCCCAGCACTTTGGGAGGCTGGGGCAGGAGGATTGCTTGAGGCCAGGAGTTTGAGACCAGCCTGAACAACAGAGCAAGATTCTGTCTCTACAAAAAATGTTGAAAATTAGCTAAGCTGGCCGGGCACAGTGAGCCTGTAATCCCAGCACTTTGGGAGGCCAAGGCAAGCAGATCATGAGGTCAGGAGATTGGAGCATGCTGGCTAACACGGTGAAACCCCATCTCTACCGAAAATACAAAAAATTATCGGGTATGGTACCATGTGCTGGTAATCCCAGCTACTCAGGAGGCTGAGGCAGGAGAATTGCTTGAACCCAGGGCGCAGAGGTTGTAGTGAGCCGAGATTGAGCCACCGTACTCCAGCCTGGGTGACAGAGTGAGACTCCATCTCAAAAAATAAAAATAAAAAATTAGCCGAGCATGGTGGCGCATGCCTGTAGTTTTAGCTACTTGGGAAGCTTGAGGTTGGAGGATCTGGGGCAGATGCACTATGAAGGCTCAAGAGGAAACATTCGGGGCTGCCTGCAGCAGTGATAAGGCTGCAATTCAATTTTCTTTGACGTCAGTGGTAGAATTTGTCCACTAGGGGCCGGGCACGATGGCTCACCCCTGTAATGCCAGCACTTTGGGAGGCTGAGGTGGGTGGATCACCTGAGGTCAGGAGTTCGAGACCAGCCTAGCCAACATGATGAAACCCGTATCTACTAAAAATACAAAAAGTTAGCTGGGTATGGTGGTAGGTGCCTATAATCCCAGCTACTCGGGAGACTGAGGCAAGAGAATCACTTCAACCCAGGAGTTAGAAATTGCAGTGAGCCAAGATTGCACCATTGTATTGCCTGGGCAACAAGAGTGAAACTCCGTCTCAAAAAAAAAAAAAAAAGAATTTGTCTACTAGGTACTGTGCTAGGTGCTGGCAGGGGAGTTAATGGGTCCCAGACAGACAGACGTGGCCCACGGACTGGCTTGGCCCAGGGGAGATGCTACTGGAACAAGAAAACCTCTCTGATGGTTCTTGGAAGTGGGAGCTGGCCCCTGGCCCTCCATCCACTCCTCATCTCCTCCCAGAGGCTGCTGTTCTTCATCCAGACTATCTGACCCCATCTTCCCTGTAGTTGCCACAGAGACCTCATCATATGAAGGGAAAGAGAGAGTAGCATTCTCAGTAGGGCCCAGGTCTCAAACACTTCCCTGCTGCATGTCTCATCTACGTTTTTTTTTTTTTTGAAACAGAATCTTGCTCTGTTGCCCAGGCTGGAGATACTACAATCTCAGCTCACTACAACCTCTGCTTCCCAGGCTTAAGCGTTTCTCAAGCCTCAGCCTCCTGAGTTGCTGGGACTACAGGCATGCACCACCATGCCCAGCTAATTTTTGTAGTTTTAGGAGAGATGGGGTTTCACCATGTTGCCCAGGCTGGTCTCGAACTCCTGAGCTCAGGCATCCCATCTGCCTCGGCCTCCCAAAGTGCTAGGATTACAGGCATGAGCCACAGTGCCCAGCCCCTCATGCCTCTTTTTTTTTTCTGTAGGGGGGGGAACGGAGTTTCACTCTGTCGCCCAGGCTGAAATGCAGTGGCACAATCCAGGCTCACTGCAACCTCCACCTCCCAGGTTCCAGCTGTTCTCCTGCCTCAGCCTCCTGAGTAGCTTGGACTACAGGCACGTGCCATCACGCCCATCTAATTTTTTTGTATTTTTAGTAGAGATGGGGTTTCACCATGTCGGCCAGGATGGTCTCTGTCTCCTGACCTCATGATCGGCCTGCCTCAGCTTCCCAAAGTGCTGGGATTACAGGTGTGAGCCACAGTGCTCGGCCCCTTATGCCCCTTAACTTTATATCTCTGGGTCAGAATGTGATAGGGAACTCTCCTTTCTTGAAGACCTCCCAGGAATGTGATGTCTCAGTCGCTCCCAGTTCTCCCATTGAGAAGGAGAAGCCGGTACAGGACTACTCCGAGCCAGATGATTTCCATCTTTGCTTTACTCAATCCTTAGAACAACCTTGAAAGGCAAATGTTAATTACACCCATTTCACAGATGCAGAAACTACAATTCAGAGAGATTAGGAAGCGTATCCAAATCACCTGGCTGGTAAAAGGTAGGGCTGGGAATGATCCCAGATCTTTGCAGAATTATACCTCACTACCTTCCCTGGGCCATGGCTCTTTTTCACTGCCTGGTAGGCCTATTTGAAGAGTTAAACAAGGTATCAGACTGGTCTAAATACTGTAAGAAAGGAAAAAAAAGAATGAAACAAGGTAATGCTTGAGAAACCCTTGGCACGTGATCCATGTTAAGTGACCCTCTCAGAACAAAGTCAACACTCAAAGGGCAGGGGCAGAAACATGCACAGGGCACGCCGGGCGTGCCCGCCTATAAAGGGAGAGCCAGCGGTGAGTCTTCTGCAAGCTCAGTCTGGCACTTTGGATCCGTTCCCATCGGTCCTTACAGCTGCTGGTCACAGCCAAGATGGTGAAACAGATCGACAGCAAGGTTGCTTTTCAGGAAGCCCTGGACACCGCAGGCAATAAACTTGTAGTAGTTGACTTCTCAGCCAGGTGGTGTGGGCCTTGCAAAATGATCAAGCCTTGTTTTCATTCCCCCTCTGAAAAGCATCCAACGTGGTATTCTTTGAAGTAGATGTGGATGACCATCAGGATGTCGCTTCAGAGTGTGAAGTCAAATGCATGCCAACATTCCAGTTTTTTAAGAAGGGACAAAAGGTGGGTGAATTATCTGGAGCCAACAAGGAAAAGCTTGAAGCCACCATTAATGAATTAGTCTAAGCATGTTTTCTGAAAATATAACCAGCATTGGCTATTTAAAACTTGTCTTTTTTTAATTTACAAAAAATATAAAGACTATAAATCCAATTGCCATCTGGGTGACAATAAATCATTAAATCTAACACTTAAAAATATATGCACAGTTGCTTTTCACAAAGGCGCTCAACCTTGACTGCACATTGAAATCACCTGGGAAGCTTGTAAAACTCAACATACCCAGACTGCACCTCAGCCTAATAAAATCAGAGCCTCTGGGGGCAAAACTCAGACATGACTGGCTTTTCAATTTCCCCAGGTGAGGCTGCATACGATGGCTTGTGCCTGTAATCCCAGCACTTTGAGAGGCTGAGGCGGGTGATCACCTGAGGTTAAGAGTTCAAGACCAGCCCAGCCAACATGGAGAAACCCTGTCTCTACTAAAAATACAAAATTAGCTGGGTGTGGTGGCACCTGCCTGAAATCCCACTACTCAGGAGGCTGAGGCAGGAGAATTGCTTGAACCCAGGTGGTGGAGGTTGCAGTGAGCCGAGATCACTGCACCACACTCCAGCCTGGGCAACAAGAGCGAAACTCCATCTCAAAAAAAAACAAAAACAAAAAACTTTCCCCAGGTGGTTCTGATTCCACTGTGTAGCCAAGGTTGGGAGAACTCTGGAGACAGTAGTTCCGAGCCTCCCAAGCGGAGGCCGACTAGAGAGTCTGAGACATAAAGACTGTGTCCATCAGAAGGCACAGAAAGGGGCCAGGCACAGTGTATCATACCTGTAATCCCAGCACTTCGGGAGGCTGAGGTGGGCAGATTACTTGAGTCCAGGAGACCAGCCTGGGCAACATAGCAAAACCCTGTCTCTACCAAAATACCAAAAAAAAAATTAGCCAGGAGATGACAACCAGCCTTGTCTGACACAACCAGCCTAGCCACGGACTTCACATCCAACTTTCAGAGCAGAAACTCCATGTAAGCAACTTCCTCGCCTCCTTCCCTCCTCTCCTGTAGTTTTGGCTTTTTGTATTGTCTGTTTGTTTACTGAGATAAGGTCTTGCTCTGTCACCCAGGCTGGAGTGCAGTGGCTCAATCTTGGCTCACACACTGAACTCTAATTCCTTGACCATGTGTGTCCTCCCCTCACTCCCCACACTGAACCTGGCTTTGGTGGCCTGGTGCCCAGCATGGTGTCTCACCCATGTGTGGATGCTTAAATACATCTTTGAAATTTGAATAAACAGCAAACATTGTTACATAGGAGTCATTTTTTGCCTTTAAAAAATGCAGCCTAAACCTCTTGGGCTCAAGTGATTCTCCCAACTCAGCCTCCTGAGTAGCTGGGACTATAGGCACACACCACTACCACTGGCTAATTTTTTTTTTCTCTTTTTTTGAGACAGGGTCTTGCTCCATCACTCAGGCTGGAGTGCAGTGGTACAATCACAGCTCACTATAGCCACGGCCTCCCAGGCCCAAGCAATCCTCCTGCCTCTGCCTTCTGAGTAGCTGGGATTACAGGTGTAAACCACCATATCCAGCTAATTTTTAAATTTTTTGAAGAGACAAAGTTTCCCTATGTTGCCCAGGCTGGTCTTGAACCTTGAGCTTAATGGATCTTCCTACCTTGGCCTCCCAAAGCGCTGCGATTAATAGATGTGAGCCACTGTGCCTGGCCCCCTCCTATAGTTTTTCCCTGGCCGACATCCCTCTTATAAATCTGCAAGGCTTCTCACTCTCTGCAGGGAATATTAGGTCATTCATATACCTGGGTTCAGTCCCTACACTGCAGTCATCCTGATGCTCACACCCCAGACACCCCAGACCGTGCCGCCTCCTTCAAACAGGCCATTCCCATTCGCTAAGCCTCTGCCCATGTGCTCTGATTCCGCCCTCCCTTCCTTCCTCTGCGTCCTTCCTCCTTCCTCCTTCCTCTTTCTTCTTCTTCTAGTGACAGCTTATTCATCCTCTAAAATAAAACTTGAATACCACTCTCTCTACCTTTCCCTGAACAGTATTATTTACTTTGTTCTCTCTGCTCCCACAGTACTTTGGACAGAACTCTGCCACGGAGGTTCACACACTGAACTCTACCCTTGACCACGTGTGTCTTCCCCTCTCTCCCCACACGGAACCTGGCTTTGGTGGCCTGGTGCCCAGCAGGGTGTCTTGCCCATGTGTGGGTGCTTGAATACATCTTTGAAATTTGAATAAACAGCAAACATTGTTACATAAGAGTCATTTTTTATCTTTAAAAGACACATCATGGCTGGGCGCGGTGGCTCACACCTGTAATCCCAGCACTTTGGGAGGCCGAGGTGGGTGGATCATGAGGTCCAGAGTTCGAGACCAGCCTGGCCAACATGGTGAAACCCCATCTCTGCTAAAAATACAACAACAACAAAATTAGCCAGGCACAATGGCACATGCCTGTAATCCCAGCTACTCTAAGGCTGAGGCAGGACAATCTCTTGAACCCGGGAAATGGAGGTTGTGGTGAGTGGAGATCATGCCATTGCACTCCAGCCTAGGTGACAGAGCAAGACTCTGTCTCAAAAAAAAAAAGCCACATATCCATTTTCTCATTGGACTACTTCAAAAGAGAAGATCTAGGGACATCCAAAGATCCTAAGTGAAAAATCACCCTGGCTGCATGGGTCGGGCCAAGACACAGGGCTAAAGGGCAGCAGCAACACGCTGAGCCCAGGTGTCTCCTTTCCAGATGAGACCTGACCGCCTGGACCAGCAACACAGCAGAGGCAGCAGGAAGCAGGAGACCGGGCCAGAGGGTTTCTGGGCAGGTGGTAGCTGGTAGATCTGTAAATCAATTCCCCACACTGGGCTGTCACTGAAACAGCCCGGGAGTAGCCCAGAACCTGGAGGTAGACCCCAGAGGGCAGGGTGTGGGAAGATTAGAAGCATAGGCTAGAAATTGGACCACTAATATAGAATTTGACATGTGGGTGGAGAGGGGTGTTTTGGAGGCTGCAAATCAATAAATTAATGTTTTCCTCAATCTAGGTAAGCAGAGGCAATGCGGTATAGTGGTTTACAGTGTGGCTTCTGGAACTAGATTCCTGGGGTTTGGATTCAGCACATGTGACGTTGAACAAGTTGTTTCTTTCTTTTTTTTTTTTTTTTTTGAGATGGAGTTTTGCTCTTGTAGCTCAGGCTGGAGTGCAATGGCACAGTCTCAGCTCACTGCAACCTCTGCCTCTGGGGTTCACGCGATTCTCCTGCCTCAGCCTCCCAAGTAGCTGAGATTACAGGCACGCACCACCACACCCAGTTAATTTTGAATTTTTAGTAGAGACAGGGTTTCTTCATGTTGGCCAGGCTGGTCTCAAACTCCCGACCTCACATGATCCGCCCACCTCGGCCTCCCAAAGTGCTGGGATTACAGGTGTGAGACACCGTGCCCCACCGACCTTGAAAGAGTTATTTAGCCCCCAGATGGTGGGCCCCTTGCCTGCACGCTAGCCCTGGGGCTGCAAAAAAAAAAAAAAAAAGAGTTATTTAACTTCTCCGTATTTTACTTTCCTCACTTGTAAATGGGAAACAGTAATAAAATCTACCTCAGGATTTTTATGAAAATTAAATTAGTAAATCCATGTAATTTTTCAAAACAAGCCCCTGGCTTATAGTAAATGCTCAGTGAATGTGAGCTATTATTTAATATTTTATTAACTAGCATCTATGAGGTGTTTCAGTGACTGTGTAAGGAAACCACATGGCTCACATCTGTAATGCCCATACTTTGGGAGGCTGACACAGGAGGATCCCTGGAGCCCAGGAGTTCAAGACCAGCCTGGGCACTACAGCAAGACCCTGTTTCTAAAAGAAAAAAAAATGTTGGCCGGGCGCTGTGGCTCACGCCTGTAATCCCAACACTTTGGGAGGCTGGGGCGGATGGATCACAAGGTCAAGAGCTCGAGACCATCCTGGCCAACATGGTGAAACCACGTCTCTCCTAAAAAAAAATTACAAAAAATAGCTGGGCATGGTGGCATGTGCCTGTAAATCCCAGCTGCTCTGGAGGCTGAGGCAGAAAAATTGCTTGAACCAAGGAGTCAGAAGTTGCAATGAGCCGAGATCTCGCCTCTGCACTCCAGCCTGGTGACAAAGGGAGATTCTGTCTCAAAAAACAAAAAACAAAAAAACAAAAAAAAAAATTCTTTTTTTTTAAGTTAGCCAGGTGTGATAGAAAGCACTCATAGTTCTAGCTACTTGGGAGGCTGAGGCAGGAGGATTCGTTAAGCCCAGGAGTTCAGGGCTGTAGTAAGCTATGACGGATTGCACCACTGCACTCTGACCTGAGCGGCAGAGCAAAACACTGTCTTAAAAATAAAAAAGAGAGGTTGAGATCCAAGATGGTCGATCACTAACAGCTCGGGATTGTAGCTCCCAGTGAAAGCTCAGAGAACAAGACGACGCCACACTTTTACATGAATTTTTGTCACTTACGGATCAGCCGATTCCCAGTGGAGGAGCCCCACGGGTCGCCAGCGGGACTCTCGTGGCCGCCGCAGCGGTTTTGCCGGCACCTTGGCGCAGCAGCTCTTCATGCAGAGCAAACGCGACCGCTTCCCCTACTGACGGAGTTTGGAGCTTGGGGAAGTCAGAGCCGCTTGTTGCAGACTCAAGAGGGAAGCCAGACCAGAGATTCCCGGGCAGAAGAGCACCATCAGTCTTATCACTGCTATTTAGGCCGCAACAGTGGGTTGCTCGGATCCCAGCACTGAGAATCAATAAATCGGACGTCGACTCAGAAACCTAATTAGAAAGGTGGTTCATCTACAATGAAGGGAAAAAAAACAGCCTAAGAAGGCTGAGTATACCCAAAATCAGAACCCATCAGCAACGGAACAAGTCCTGATGGAAAAGGACTCATCAGCAACGGAACAAGCCCTGATGGAAAAGGACTCATCAGCAACGGAACAAGCCCTGATGGAAAAGGACTGTGTTCCATTATCTGAAGTAGGCTTTAAAAGGTGGATGATGAGAAACTTCTGGGAGTTAAAGGAACTTGTTCTAACCCAATGTAAAGAAACTAAGAACTTTGAAAAAAGGTTCGATGAAATGATGAAAAGAATAGACAATATAGAGAGGAATACAAATGAACTTATGGAGTTGAAAAATACAAC